GGAAAGGGAAGTTTGGGGTCCTCTACTGGAATTGCTACCCCCGCGACCCGATCCCGGATAAGCGGATGAAGATGTGATATGAAGATGTGTGACCAATCCCCCTCCCCTCACCGAGCTTAACTTCACCGATCTCCCCCTCACCAAGCTCAACCTCACCGATCTCCCCCTCACCGAGCTCAACCTCACTGAGCTCAACCTCCCCGATTTCCCCCTCACCCAGCTGCCCCTCCTGGCCCATCACTCAAAAGGGGCAGATGTAATTTCTGCCCTCGCCAGAGTGATCTAAAAACATCCACAATATGCCAAAAATGCAATGCATACATCTGCAAAGATCATGCCATGACTACCTGCCTCGCATGCAACTAAGGGTTAGTTTAGAAAAGTTGAACGTTTTGTAAATAAATGTTGAAATGTTGTATATATGTCAGTTAATGAGTTGAATCAAGTTGACTAAAAAGTTGAAACACAGAGGTGGGTGATAATTTATACTTTATGCTATAAATAACAGTCAAACCAGGTGGGGACAAAAAGGTGTCATAATGAGCTGCCATTAAAAAAAATTAAAATGATTCAAAAACAGCATTTTCACTAAACTGTGACATATACCTCTCTGTAATGAGTCAAATAATCAAAATAATATATAGTAAAAATATTTCATTGTTTAATTTTGTTTTAACTAAAAAATAGGGTATACTTTCATATAAACAAGGTCTATTGGTCCAAAATTAAAAAAAAAAAAAGGGGGAAATTTGTGGTAATGGGTTGCACTGAAGTCAGACTAAAGGTGTAACACAGAATTAATTGATCATTTATTCTTTATGCTATAAATAACAGTCAAACCAGTTGGGGTCATTCTGACCCCAGAAGACAAAAGGTGTATGGCAATCGGGAAGACAATACAAGGGTTAAGGTATTCCTAAGGAGAAGCAATTTATGTGTTTTCTGGGTCATCCCGGCTGTCTAGTGTCTTGTAAGCCCATTTGGGCTGGGCATCTACATGGTGCAGGACACTTTAATAAAATTAATCAATCAATCATGTAACAGTAACGTTTTTAGTGGTTGCCTTGCCTTGTTAAAAAAAGCAACATCAGCCCACTTTCTTTTTTAAAAACTTTGAAAACCTCTAGTTAACTCCAAGTGCTCTAATATTTCTTGCTTTGTACCATATTGTCATATTATAGAAAATACACTATGCATGCCCATTTGTCTGTATAGTTCTACAATATTATTGATAATCCTATTTATTGTTATTGCTATATGTATGTGCTTGTACAGTGAGCTAAAATATGTAATAACTGCATGTCATAATTAAAATGAGTTTGTAAAACTATTCTTTGATTATAACATTGGCTGGTACCAAAACAGTGGGAAAGATGTAGGTAAGATGTTTTCTTTTTCAATACACATACATAAATATTGAGAACAAATCATTACTAAAATGAGGACAATGTCTCTGGTTAATGATAATCCAACAGCCATCATGAGTATAAACACATTAGTGATTAAACTCAGGAAGGAAAGGAAGGAAAACTTCAAATAGGCCCAAACCCCAGCTTTAACACTGACATGAAAACCAAAAAGGTACTTATAATAGAGTCTACAACTGAGTCTAAAAGGAACTGAAGTATTCACATACTCAGGTGGGTTTTTTTGTGAGCATGCTGACAGTTTGGGTCAAAAATATAAATATTAATAACATCCAGGCATTACCTCCAATACTAAAATTACAGTCAATATTAAACTACGACACATTAATTATCACACATTATCTCCTCCTTTGATTGTAGACACATGCACCGCTATGCAACAAAACCATTCTGTCGCTCTCTTAATCTACACAAAGGATTGAAATAAGTGTATATGTCGGTACTCTATATGGTTTTCATCACCTGTCTCCCAGCATCATCTTGTCTGTGCAAACACCACAGCAGTTTATTCTTAGAGGATTTCTGCAGTGTGATAAAATTGTACTGAGATTTGCAGAGTTTCCATGGTTCTGATTACTCCCTGTAAATTTGGTGACTTGATGCCGAGTTATCCTCAAAATCTAATGGCCGGATTTCTTTGTGATCTGCTGTGGAACTTAATGGTCCTCTGAGGATGAATCCTAATACTTTTGGTGACTTCCCTTTAGTTCCACCTTAAGTTTCCTTAATTTGGGCCTAAATTTCCTCTTAGAATTTACTAAACACATGCTTACCAGAAGATGAACTTTTAGAGTTAAATGAACCCAGGACTTTTTTTCTGAGGCCACCCTCAGGACAAACTTTACATGTTAAGCCTCGCAAAATCATCTGTCCTTTGTTTGTACAATTAAATACTTAAATACAACTAAATCGAATCGAATAATGTCTGTGTATTGTTTAAATGCGTTTTAACATCAATAATGTTTGTCAAAATAGAAACAAAATTGTATTTTCAATGAAGCTTAACTGAGCCATAATTAAATAGATTATTTACACCTTTTCCTACTGTGACATGTCAAAATGTCTTCTGTGAGAAAGTCCTACTTCCAAAAGAGCATTGCTGATTTTATCAACCAAGATATTTAGATAAATACAGCATACGTATTTAGAGAGGAATGTACTGTATACCACCATACCAACAGACTTAGACTTAGACTTAGACAACATAGCATTACTCCTGTGACAGTATATAAGCACCTAATGTATTTCATTGATTTTACATCATCATCAATACATTTCTAAAACCTTTCACAGACACATGCAGAGAACACTAAAGGCCATTATTCACATACATTTGCATACATATATAAAACAGGGATATATGCATACATACATACACACATAGACAATGCACTGCAAATGCAATTACTGTGATTTACTTCCATTTACAAGTGTGATATATTGAGTGCTAAACAGCCAGTAATGTCTGTGCTTTAAAGGTGCAACACAGCACACTGAGGGTGTGTAAATGGAAGGTCTATGCACTTTTGAGCTTCTGGAAAATGGAAATAGAAAATATGTTCTGGAATAAACACAGCAGGTCATTGTCCTCACAATATCCCCCCATTTTTGTTTTGTCTTAAAATCTTTAGGCACTACCTGAGACATAGTATGCATGGGCCACCTGGTTACTATGGCCTGACAGTAGTACTCAGACTATATCGTAGTTATATTACTGTAGGTCAGAGATGGATGTATTAGCCTCCAGTCATTTCATAGAAAGCTGAAATTCAAATGGCCTCTTTAAGTAAAATGTTTATCTTCTCGTGTGTAAGCAGTTGGTACACAAAGTAATGGTACAGTATCCCCACTTACTGATCATAAACTCACCTAACATTGAGACTACATCAATATACTTTCTTTGCTTGCTCTTCACTATTTACCACTTTTTGGAGTTTTACAATCCATTTAAATGAGCTGCATTTCTTCATCCATTCATTTACCTAATATAAATTATGACAGTAGCCTATTGTTGATTCACTTCTGGGACTTGATACACCCACTATGGTCTCAACAACTATAAACTTTGCAATGGTATGATAACAATACAATACAGGTGTTCATGTTATTATATGTATTCATTGACCCTTTAATGTGTAGAGACCATGTTGGCCTTTGGGTCCAGGGTAGGTGTAATGGGGGGAACCAATAAATATAAATAAATATTTTTAGCAGCACAATAGGAGCTGCAATTGTTGGGACCCTAATAAGGAAAGTGACAGTATAAAATAAATATATTTATTCTAGGGGAGCAATTTGATGTGCAGATATTTCCATTTCATAGAATACGTTTTCTCATCCAAGATGGACTTATGTATGTGCATGTTTTTTTTCATCACGTTTACAAGGCCCTGGCATGTAAATTAAATTGACACATAATAAAGTTGTGAGTAAATATGATTTTATTTTCAGATCCTGCACAGAAAGAATCTGATAACTGATCAACATTAATGTATATGAAAAATTTACAAAGTAGGTAATGCTGATCACTGTTGGGGGCAGAGCAGATTTTTGCCCTGGGGCCCCCTAGTGGGTTCATCCAGCCATGGTCCTGGTCCTGGTCCTGGTCCTGTGACTGGGCGTGATACCTCCACTGCCAGGGTGTGATGTCCACTATCATGGATCAAGGAAATGTATTTATCTATATACAAGTATGAACGTATGAATGGTCCTGTGGCATGATTCAATAACATGTTATTAAATGTTATTGCAGGTTTGTTGAAGCTTTCATGTAGTTTTTTTTCATTCCGTGGAATCCCATTTTATAGCAATAAAGCAGGTTAATGCAGGGCGCCTGCACAGCTCACCTGGTAGAGCTGGCTCCCCATGTACCGAAGCTGAGTCCTTGCTGCAGCGGCCATGGGTTCGAAGGCAACCTGTGGCTCCTTGCTGCGTGTCATCCCCTCTCTCTACCCCCTTCCTGTCTTTCTTCATCTGTTGCTACAGATTAAAGGCAATAAAAGCCCCCCCCCCCCAAAAAACAAAAAAAGCAGGTCAATGTATGTGTCAATTTATTAAAATATTAAAACAAATGACAGTGCCTTCAGCAATGCAGGACAGGAAGATGTCTGGAAAATATGTGCGATTTTTCTCATGAACTAGACTCCTCATTGTAAT